TTTAAAATATTACTTTGAAATAAATAAATAAATAAATACCATCCATCTAACAATGTTGTTTCATTTTTTATTTCTATATGTATCGAATTTTGAAGGGTTAATATGTCAATGTATATAGATTTTCAGTTGTTCAGGATGTAGAAAATCAAGAGTTTATTGATCTTTTTAAAATAACAACAATTAGATTGTAGTGAACAAAGTGCAGAGAACAGATGGATGGTCAGGGTTCATGAGACTCACAGCAACATGGAAAAAGCTGTTCCACAGGTTTATTGCCTCAGTCTTCTGCCCGAAGGAAACAGGGTGGACAGATCTTGGGCTGGATGGGTGAAGCATGTTCTTTTCTTTGCTGTGACTTCTGTCCAAATTCTAAGTGCTGCTGATTTTTTTTTTAATATGAGTTAAGCAAACATGCCACATTTTAGCCAGATCATATGGCTCCTAATTAAACAAATAATTCAGTGTTATATATATTACTCATAAAAAATCAGTGTTATATCTTTAGTGCATAAAGTTTTCAACTGTTGATGTCTGGCCATCATTACAGTACATTTAATGAGTTTATGTACCTTGACGGGTGAGGACGTGTGGATGGTTCTGAAGGTTTTCTTCACACACACATTCACTAGTCACACTGAGGAAATTTATTTTGTTGCAAAAGGAGGACAACTCCTTGGAAAGTTAATTAGATGGAAACAAGCAGAAGAAGAAGATGGGGAGGGGCAAAACAGGAAAGGAGAAATGACCCCGCTGCCAAAAGTAATAACAATTTCATTATTTATTTCATTATTCATTTATGGATGTGTTCAGAGAGAATTAATAATAGAAATCCCTCAGAGGAAATGTTTGTGCTGGAACTCTATTACATGCAGGCCAAGTCCAGTGGCACAGTTAGTTAACATGCACGAAAGTACTGCCCCTGACAAATACTGCATCAAGTGAAGCCCTGGATTATTCTGCTTGCAAACTTCTTTTAATTCTCTGATTTTATTTAATTGCTTCAGCCGTCGTTAAGGTTGCTCTTTGCTACTTTCTGCCATCTTTATAGAAAAATTAAACAATATAACGTGGAAAAAAGCAATCATCTGCTACAAAATGCTTTAGGAACAGCATACTTAAAACAGATTTCACATGATTGTCTCTTACACACTTTCATTACTAACGTGAGGTGTCCATTTCTTTCCTTGAAAACTAGAACTGAAGCAGTGAATCAATTAGGGATCCCTTCGGAGAGAGGAATTTGTGCTGTTCCATTACACATTTCAGCTTCTCCGTCCAAACGTTACGCCGCACGAAATTCCCCAACCTGGCCCCTGCGTTTGCTTTTCTCACTGTTTACTGCAACACTTCCAGGCCAGCTTAGCATTTAATTTCCCCCGCTGAGATTCCGAGCACATTTCCAATACACACTCTAGAGAAAATGAGTCCGGAAAGGACTAGTGGCAAATCATTCAAGGCTGTCCAAAGATCTATTACAAAAGCATATTTTATTTTTGCTTCCAACGCCGACAACTCCTTTAAAAATCACGACTAAAGGCAACTGGGATGGCTGTTTTTTTTTCTTTTGCCATATTAGTTTTCATTTATCAGATACATTTTCCTTTCCCCAACTCCCAACCACCACCCTCCCACCCAACCAGCGAGCGGCTTTTCGACATCGAGTAAAATCAAGAACGGATGTTGAAGAACAACTTGTCTTGGTAGAACCGTGTGCATCTGCGAGGTATGACGGTGCATATAGACGAGGTGAGTGGTGGGAACTTTGGAGAGAAGTTATAAAACATAAAAACAAAATAAACAAGTGTCAGTTGAGCATTTCTACATAATCCATACACGTTTCTGTCTCGCTCAAATTAGCAGGGCCACAGCCATGTGTGAATAATCACACAGGGAGCCTCTGAGGTGCCCTCCCTGATTTACAAAAGGCTGGGTGCAAGGGCAGATGGGGGAGACAGAGGTTGAAGGGGGGCTTTAAACGTTAACACGTTGAGGATTTGGATGTCCTCACCAGCTTGTCTCATTAACAGCTAGTTTTTTTTTTCTTTTCTGCATAACTTTTTTCTCTTGTAGGAGGAATTCCAAAGACTTTTCTTTAATCGAGATGCAAAAATGACAAAAGATTTCAAGGACTCCAGATCTTTAAAATGGTTTAGTGGATATTAAAGCAACATAAACAAAAACTATTAAACACTTTACACAACACAAAATCAGCTGAGAACCAAACTAAACGTTACGACCTCCTTATAGCCGAATCTACAAAAGGATTAGAGCAAGAGAGAGATAAAGAAAATGACAGATTAATCTTTTTCCTCTTTTTTTCTGTCCATTCACATTTCCAGACTGGGAGCTCAAAAAAACTGCACTAAATAGGAAATTATTTCCAAGGCTCCTTTTAGCGGTCGGCCCAAAGAAGACATTACGGAGTTGTCATGCAGAAGAACCGCATCCCACCACCTTTTGCAGCATATTTTGACAAACATTAAGCAAGGCAGTAAAATACATAGGTAAAGGGGGATTTGCCTGGAAGTAAAGACCATGAGGAAGAGAAAAAAGGAAATAGGACTTCAGCTGAATTACACACCTCCAGAAGATCTCTCTGTTTAGAGAGAAAAGGGGGGAAATGTGTAAAACTTTTTCTCCCGCTATCACCGTGTATCTCCATCGCTCTCTACCTGTAGTTCTTCGTCACTGAGTTTTTTGCATTTCATTAATCAAACATTTTAATGCTCGATCAACTGTTCAATACTGGAGGTCTTTTTCTGAAAACCACATATGTTTCAGGTCCAAACATTTCATGCCTGCTGTACTGAGTTTTAATAGACCTTATTAGACTGAACCAAACGAGCTTTGGGTCGAGTCTTGCAAATAAATTTTAGGAGAACCTGAAAAAAGGCAGCGGCATCAATATTAGGCTTTACTAACAAGCTGTGTAAACTGTTTTAAGTACGTTTTGCACATGACGTCAGTACAATCCTAAATTATTTTAAAAGTTAGAGTAAGAAAATGTGCGGTTTGCTGCAAAATGAGGAGAGAGGAGAAGGAAGAGGAGAATGCATACAACTGGTTAGGTGCTTGCCAACAGCGTACGGTGGAAACCTGCTGGAAAAAAGCCCAAAAGTTCTAAGAGAGTGAAAGTGAGGAATCTGTTTTATGTAAAGAAAGACATCTGAGAGGAAGTGAGCATTAGGCAGTTGTATCACAGCCTCCATATGCTGTTTAACACCTGACATGAAAGCTCTAACCTCCAGACTCGAGTGGGAAAAAAAAAGCAGTGTGGAAAAAAATACGCAAAGAGGGAATGAAGAAAAGATGAATTCATCCAGTTCAGTTCTTTATGTTTTAGTTAAACATCTCCTGGCAACACCGTGCAACCTACAAAAGGTGTTATTGGATATCATTTAGTCTGTTATTTCACCTTCATTCAAAAGAAAAACCTCATAAAATACACATTTTCTGACCAAAGACATCCCACTGCTCACGGTCGATGGGTGTCATAAGATCAAGGCCTCCAGCAAAAACAAAACAAAAAAAAGATTATAATGGAGAACAAATGGTCATCTCACTAGTCCTTGGCTTCATCCAACATGCAGCAGATCAAGGGCCTTGAACTAAAGCAGTATTGACAGTGACCTCAACAAGACCCAGTAACTGAAACAGCTCTAACAAGGTATTAGCAAACACCTCTGTACACCCTCTACCTCTCCACCTGGGTCTAAAGAAACACAGCTGCTCAGAGAGTTTTCCAGGGCGGAGGGCAAACCCGCACCAGTGGGGTGCCCCTGGCTGAGCTCAAGGGTGAAGCTAGGTCAAGAAGTCTGAACAAAGTAAAGGGATTTTTTGTACAACTTTGTATCTCTGAAATAACATTTCATAGGTTATAAAGCTACCTGACACTTACAAGTCAAAACAACATGTTCATTTTTAATTAAAAGACTGAACTCTGCAACAAATAATTTCAAAATGAAATCACATTTCACAGAGATAAACATCAAATGTTTCATTAAAAGTGTGGATTACTCATTTAATCAATACATTTGCAGTGGTCTCTAGAAGGAACGAATGCCCTGCAGGCAGAACTCAGGGCACAAAAAAAGCTCACGAGCCCCTGTCTCAGCAGGCCAGGTGTGTGACATCACAGCTGAGCTTCAGACAACAGAATTTGGAGTATTATTTCCTGATACCATTGACTTGCAACATGAATGTTTCATTTCCACAAATAACACAAACCTGGAGGAGTTCTGCCATGTGGTGCAGCTGCTAATGGTTAGCTTGAATTAGCCAAGATGTCGGCTGCTGATTCCTGGACGTTAAAACAACAACAGCTTTCTCTGTCACGAGTCAAGATCGGTGAGTCCATGATAGCAAATTCACAGTGTGAAATAGATCTGTGAGGATGTTCAAATTCTAGCATTTCACCGTCTATTTACTATCAGAAGTTAATGCAGGAGATAGGTGTAGCATTTTTATGTTTAGCCTGCATGAAAAGCTATGACCAATATTAATGCAAAAAAAAACAAATATTAAAATAAAGGTTTTTCTCTCAACCACCCCTTTAAAGCTATCAATAAGAGTTCATCTGTAAGCATGAAGTGTCTATGGTTTTGCCCATTGCATCAAAATAAGCACAGATTTATCACTGCAAAGACATTTTTAAGACACTTTTTTTAATTTACTTTCAAAACTGTAAAGTATTCTGTTCCTGTGTTTGCACAAGAAGGGCAGGGACACACACACACACACACACACACACACTCTAGTCTAGCATTCGTTGTGAGGACCGTCATTGACTTCTAAGATTGTGCCTAACCCTAACTCCAACCATAACCAGTCTACTCCTAACCCTAACAAAAACTTAATTCACACCATACCTCTAAAACTAACGAGTAGAGCTCTGTAACGTTGTCCCAAAGTGAAGACCAGCAAAATGTCCTGACTTTGCAGGTAAAATACTTCTTTTGATTGATGTATAGACTGGTGTACACACACACACACACACACACACACACACACACACACACACACACACACACACACATTGTAATGCAATCAATATTTCTTCTTCTATTACTGATTACAATTCTATGAGTTGTTTTAATATATTTAGTTGATATAAAATAAAAAAATGTTCCTTAAGTTAGTTAAAATTAATTTGTGTCTGGTCGGAATTACAAAGCATTCAAAAAGCAATAACAATACATTTTTAAGTATCAGGCATGACATTAAAAGCAGAAGCTTCGATGCTCCACCTGAGAGTAAATCTGTAAGGCTTGTCACCAGCATTCAGACTTCCATTTGCTTCACAGCCAGGCAGAACAGGGGGAAAATAATAATAATAATAATAATAATAATAATAATAATAATTAGTTTGTGTGTAACGTGTATTATGAAACTATCTAAACAAATCCACTGATGACCTCTTTCTTATTCATTTTGTCTTTCCCTTTCCTTACATTTTTTGAAATCACGATTTTTCTTCTATTTTATTTTTTGTTTTTTGTTCTTGTGAAGCGCCTCGTGACTTGTCCTGAGAGACGCTATATAAATCTTCTGAACAGGCAAATATCTGCACATACCCAGAGATGTTTAAACTTTGTAACTTTGACAGTTTTTTTGAGTTTCAAGTTTGTAAAACATCGGCAGGCATAAAAAATACAAATGTTATCAATTCACATCAACACTACGCTTATACATATCAAATTAATAGTTAATGATGCGATTATTCATTACAATATAAACAATTTGTTTCTCATTAATCAGAATTTAACTGTACACACTTTATACAAAGTGTCTTGTTTATCAAGTTTGAGGAGAGATTTTCAACATTCCAGACTTGGCTGGAGATGTGTTTTCAGTCTTTACCTCTAAACCCAGTCTAGTTTGCCTAAACTCAACACGTTTTAGCCTTAATATGGGTGTAACTCAGACTGAATCACACAGCTGGGAGAGGAAACATTAAAACCCACTTTAGAAAAAGCTGACTTTTGAAAATGTACAGTTTTAACACCTGGGACAGATTAATGTAAAAATCAACACTGATTTATTTTCATATATGTTATTATCTTATACTAGACATCCATATGTGCTTATGAGTTCAACTTGCCCTCTAAGAGTCAGGTACAGCTGTGCACGTGTGCATGTGTGTGTGCACGTGTGCAGGCACTCGTGGAGGTTGTCTCTGTGTGACTGTGGGCGTCTGGAGGAGAGAGAAGCCTCATCTGTTACCAACCCAGCCCGGCCGGCCCGCCGCGTGAAGTAGAACGACAGGGTGTCACCGTCGACGACAGTGATGGATGCCCCAAATTCTGTAGGCAACTTGGGCAATTGGACGCATTAACAACTGGCACCTGCTTTCCCCTGTACAAATCTATTAAAAGATAACAGCAATGGCGGCTCCTACACTATTAGTAAATTATAGCTCTGTCTGCGAGTGAGGTAAGTGTAGGGCTCCCCCTTTCCACCCAGCTCTCTGCCGCAGATTCACGTAGGCGGTCTTACAGTGCCACCTCGTGGAAAGAATCTGTACTGCTTTGACTACAAAGTGAAATAAAACAAACTGATATTTGAAAATGGTAAGAAAGTAAATTAATAGGGGAGGTGACGTTTTCTCCGAAGCACAGGTGAGCTGTATTGGCATTGAATCAATATTTTCAAACTGGGTCAGCAAAGATGAATTTCATCACAATGTAAACATTAATTAAATAACTCAAATCAAACAAGCCGTCTAAATCCCATGAAAGTTATCCGTGACAGCGAGCCCTAAGGTCATTTTCTTTTCCAGAACACTAAATGTCAGCCGTTAATATTGACTAAAGTGACAAGCTATAATCTGTTAACAGCTCATCAAGCAGAGATGGAGTGTTTGTGCATCAGCAAGTAGTGCAAGTTGCTCTTTGCCCTTTTCGTGCGTTCTCTTGATTTATTTTGCAAGCTAATTTTCCACAAACAACACGCTCCTCCAGCCAACTGGGCCCAAAACCCAGCGTTTAGAGACACTGTGGCTGGCATAAACCATTATGACCATCTTCAGGCCTCCTCTTAAAACATTAACAGAAGACCTGTAACATCGGCATGACATATCTAAGGCTGTGGCTCAGACATGGAGCGCAAACGCGTGTCACATAAATTTGCCGTAGATAAATATTTCTCACTCTTTAAGGAGGGTATGTGTTTGTGAGTTAGCCAAGAAATAAAAGACGAACAAGACCAATAAATACTTTTACAACAGGCAATTTGTCAGCATGTGTAAATGTCTCCAAGTCCCAACAGCACTGGGGAAAAATTTACAGTCTCTGTGGAAGTGACAATGCACAAAAAAGCACCACTTTTACTCTCTCTCATCTCCCTTAGACCACTAAAACCTTCCCATAAATCTCCCCTGGTCCCTCCAGATGACTGCTGTTGTCAGATATCATGCCTCGACAATGCCTTCGACGATCATTTTCTTGACAGAAATATGATATGTGAAACTGCAATGTCACATCACTTAACATGATTTAGCCTAAGCTAGCCTGCACCACTTTAATCAATCAAAAATGTCACCCTTTCTTCCAGTAATGATGGTAGAGGTATAGGATCATTGTGTTAGGGTGATCTATAAGACTTATCTGGGCCGCTGACTTATGATTACTGCCAGCTAACGTACTAAGGAAGCCTCCTCTCCTCCTGTCATCGGGGTTTCTATCAAACTGGCAAATAAGTAGGCCAGCATTACCTCTTGGGCAAAGAAGGAAAGACACTTCTATGTGTAAACCTCCGTGAATATCCACTTGCTGTGCCATAAAAAGTGTATTCTAGCAGGCCAAATATCAAACTTGTGGCTGGAAATTATTAATTCTATTGGACTGCTCGTTAACTCATAGACTGGTTTAATGTTCTCCAGTATTGGGCCTCAAAACCATCTAAAGACACTGTGGGCTACAAAAACTTCAAATTATAGTAAACTGGTCTGTTTGATACAAACAAATCCTAAAATATATAAAAGAGCTGGAAGGTTCATCTTCACAATTACTAAAACAAACATCAGGCATCTGTCTGAAACTCTTATAGACTTAAACCTGGAAGAATCAACCCATCCTTCAACTGTCCATAACCAGTTGTGCCTGTTTAGGGTCACAGGAGGTTCATTAGTACCTAGCTCCAGCAGGTCATCTGTTACAGGTTTCCAATCTATCGAAGGGCCACTATCATGCACATAGTAATACATTGAGCTGTTTCAGATCCAAAACATACTTTTACATGGATTTTTTTTACAAATTACAATATTTTATACTATTTATAGTTATATTAAACATTAATTATGCTAAAATACAATATTTAACATATTTCATCTTAGAAACATCAGACTGAAAGTCATGCATATTAATCTGAATACAAGAATCAAATAACTGCATAGATAAATGCATTAGAAAATCTATTTCCATTGTTTTTTGTCTTGTTTAATGCACAGCATAGCAACGTTTTTTACCTTAATCTGCTGACAGTTTTGGCATTACACAGCGGTCATCTTCAGAGCCTCACCGGTGTTGATGTTGTTACTTCCGCGGGCAGTAGGGAACGCTGTCGCCCTCTTCTGCCTGTGCCTTCCCAGCTGATCACCATGTCCCATGAATGATCCAGCGTGTAAACTCCTTCATCCCTATTCGTGGTCCAGAGTCCACGTCTCCTTATCTCGATCACTTCTTTTATCCATATTCTGTACTTTTGTTGTTCTGTTGTTATGATCCATGTGCTGTCCCATGCAAACTCTGTAAGAAAACAAACATAGGAGAAACATGACACCAACTCAACACACAAAAATGTAACGCAAAAAAGAATGTGAAAATTAAACATGGCGAGGACACACGAGAGCAGCCAAACAAGATGCAGAGGACACAAGAGACAATCATATAATGGACTGGGACAGCACACATAACATAACAACAGAGCAACAAAAGTACAGAAGATGGATGGCGCCGCGCCACCAGTCTCACAGAAAAAGGAAAAAGATAGAAATCACAAAATACATGTACAAAACAAATTTCAACTAAACAATCTTTGCATCATACAGACTATAAGTGCTGTGTAATTTGCATTTAAGTGTGTAATGATATTTCACATTTTTACCACAACCAAATTGTCTTGTAATGTATTTCTCGTTTCTTCCAGGTGCAGCAATCTTGACTATATGTCTGTGGGTCTATCAATATATATATGTCTGTAATCTTTACCATCGACCCATGCTAACGTGCGCATGCTCACTGGATCCCCCCTTCAATACAAAGAGAGAGCCTTTGGGCGTGGCAGTTTGCGACCAAAGCAGAAGACCAGCCGGGCAGAGTCTCAGCTCAGATCAGGATGTTTACTTGGAACAGGAAGTTCTATAGTTAGTCTTTTTTTATTTTACCTCACTGTATTTGTTTATTGTAGAGCAGCTAAGTACACCTCACAGAGTTCTCTTACATTGGAGAACCAGAAAATGATGGAATGTGGCGTTGGAGATTTGTGAACACTCTCCAGCAGCAGGTTAAAAAAGACCATAAAACAGTCAGGTATCAGCTAAGTGTGACGTTGGGTTACACGAACAGAGTGGATTCTTTTCACTATAATGCTGATTATTATGACCATAAACCAGCAAAGGTTAGACTGAATTTACACTTTTGACGTCATGAAATTAAAAGCTCAATGGGGTTCAACACTAAAATAACTGGGGTTTTTGACCATATCAAGTGTATCCATCCATCCATCCATCCATCAATTTTCAGCTGCTTATCCGGAGTCAGGTCGAGGGGGCAGCAGCCTAAGCCGAGAGGTCCAGACTTCCCTCTCCCCAGCTACACGAGCCAACTCCTCCGTAGGAATCCCAAGGTGTTCCCTGGCCAGCCGAGAGACATAGCCGCTCCAGTGTGACCAGGGTCTTCTCTTGGGTCTCCTCCCGGTTGGACGTGATATTGTGTGTAATTAAAACATAATTTTTCCATAATCCATATTTTCAAATGACAATCAAACAATCTAGTTTGGTAGACACTTAGTTAACCAAAACACAAATAGATGAATAACCGTCTCTGCATGAGCATCAATTCCAAAAAAGCAATCAGAAATCCTTGTTTGTAATAGACCATATATCATCAATGTCCTGCTAACATATTTATTTACAGCTTGCCCTCTATGCTAATCAGACTATGAGCCCCTGCACACACATATGCCGAGACACACAGAAGCTAAGTGTTTGTGCATGCAAACGCATACATGCACACTCCCCAAAGCAACGTTTCCAGCACAATTCCATCCGGCAGGTATTGGAATTTTCCGAAAGAGCAAACCAATAGATAACCCATTACAAAACTATAAGAAATCAATACCTAATTTCTTTGCATTGATTACCACTTGGACATTTAACATGCACCCTGTGGCCACAGTGTGTGGTCTACAATCTCAGATCCCCACTGGCCCCTCATGAGTATTAAAATTATCGATTCAGACAGAGGACTAAAAATGTCAAGCTGTTCATTAATCTTAATAAAGACTGGAGTTGACCACGGCACACTCTCCCAAACAGGCAAACAACCTAGGAGCAGCAATCCCAAACAGATTAATAAGCTTCTACCAAAGTCCACTGACTTAGGACTTTACAATTTAATACATCAGTTACAAGAAAGCAAGTATTTTGTACTACTTCTATCTAAACTGCACAGTTTAAACTGCACATTTACTGCATGAATAAACACATATAGGAACATGAACATATACTTTGATAGCTCAAAGAAACAAAACATGCATTAACGAGGTCTCTTTGGTGAAACGAAGCTGCGTCGGCTTTAATGCTACAAATGTGCTCTAGAATGAACACTATGCACCGCCTCCCTACTGGTTTCATCTCTGCCTGATTGGTTTAAAAGTGTAGCAAGCTGACCTCTCCTTAATGAAGGCCCTAAGCTGAATTTGATCTGCTCACATTTTCCGTTTTTAATTACTTCTGCCACACTCACACATATTTTTACTAAAACACAGAAACATATTAAAATTTCAAAATAAACCGAATTAAAATAGAACTTTTCATAATGATGAAAACCATCAATTAGTTCAAAGAAGGTTTGTTATTTTTTGAGAGGTTCGGTAAATGGCCTGTGTTTGATGTAGCGCCTTCTAGGGTTCAACAATCCCCCAAGGGGCTTTAAAACACAACCAATCATTCACCCATTCACACATCCTGTCACTGTAGCCGTAGCTGCCACTTTAGTAGCATAGGGTGTTTCTCAAAACCAAGGAATCTTGCTTTGATGTCTTGGCCCCGCCCCGGTTTCCTAGGAGATACGTCATCGGGAGCTGCCAAGACATGTCCCAATGTTCATGTTCTACCAAGGCGTGTGTTCTCCGTTTGTTAGCCATTTAGCTAGCTGAGCGAGGATACACGGGAGGTGTCTTGTAGCCTAGCTTTGGTCAAAAATTACCCAGAATACAATGCAGTATTTTCAAAAGGACGGCGGATCAGAAGCCGGCAGCTACTTCGGGGACAATGTTCAAGTTTAAAAGTAAATCAACTAATTAAAAATGTTTTTTTTTTCGATCCAAAGAAGTTATCTATTGTTGGTTAGTCACTTAGTAGTTGCAGCTTCGGTGGCTAGTGGGTAGTAACTCACTTTAATTTAATACATTTATACACAATTTTAAAAGCAAAAGTCTTGTTATCTATTTATATTGAAACTAATACGTTTAAAATATAACGTTATCTCCCGTGTCACATGACATTACGTGACCGCCGTGGAAGCTGCGTTCACGTGATGCAAGTCTGTTCCATTTAACTGTTTTCTTTGACCAAGGAAAGACAGTATATCACCTTGCAAGGCCAGGCGCCTTGACATTGAGAAACACCCGTTGTGTCAGGTCAGGGTGCAAATCTTTAAAGGGACTTTTCGGACTTTTGAATTTTTATGCTCGCGATTGCCCCCTCAGGCCAAAAGCATAATGGCAGCTTCAATAGTAGGCTCGTGCACGAGGAGAGCATGCTCTACGTGCACATTCCTTAACGAAAATAACAGCTGAGACAGTCCTGTGTGTGTATGTGTGGCCCGGAGGACAGAGGACAGGAGAACATGCATCTAATTAATTAAATAATTTGGTTCTGTACCTTTCTCTTCAGCACAGCCGACAAAGGTTTATGATGGGATAGTCCTCCTGCATGCTCAGATCATTCCCTTCCCTAGCTTGAAAAATTGTTCCAAAATGAAAGTTGAACCCACATCTTTTTTATCTGTGAATTCTATGCTGTTCGGCGAGTCTCAAATAAAAATGTGGGCATCTTACTGTAAAAAAATATATACCATTAATGTAAAAAAGAAACTCTAAATAAACTATACTCACACCCAGAATCAAGCCCAGGTCATCTATATGTGAGTCAGACATCTTACAAGGTGAGCTACACACCAGTAACATTCATAGTATCTGTAACTTTTATATACTTGATGACAGCTGAAACAACGTCAAACCAAAGAACGGTTCAGAGCGACAATGGCTATTTTGTTGCTAATTTGCAGGAAATATCTAGAAGAAAGTTCTACAGATAGTAGTTAAGCATCCTCAGAAATTTAGCTAGGTTTGTCACTAGGCGTTAGGAACAGCGACAAAGTCGCTCAGTTGGCACTACCTCTCTCTCTGCTGCTAAAGCTATGGATAGCAAATGCTACAGGCTATGCCTGAGCGTGAACACGCATGACGCAGCCTGCTCGACCCGAGCAACTCTCTTTTTCTGTGATTTGACAGAAAAACAGGCAATCACAGTAAAAATGCCAGGGCTCATTCTACAGGACCAGGGCATTGCAGGAGAATGTATGAAGAAGAAATGTATTATTTCTATACATGTTTTGGCTGTCAAACTTCCATAATGCCCCTTTAATTGCACCAAAGTAGCACTCCACATATGTACACTACTTTCATTGTACCATGTGATGAGTTCCTAGGGTTCTAGATAATAAATAAAGGAAAAAAAAACACTTCAAATGATACGACAAAATTACTCACTTTATAGTGAATAACTGAACATTTCAACCACAGCCGGGATATTTGCATCATGGATGTGCAGCCGACAAATCTGCAGCATCTGCATGATGCTAACATGTCAATATGGACCAACATTTCTAAGAACTGTTCCCAGTACCTTGTTGAATCTATCCCATGAAGGATTAAGGCAGTTCTGAAGGCAAAAGGGCATTCAACCCAGTATTAGCAAGGTGTACCCAATTAAGTGGCCAGTTATATATATATATATATATATATATATATATATATATATATATATATATATATATATATAGATAGATAGATAGATAGATAGATAGATAGATAGATAGATAGATAGATAGATAGATAGATAGATAGATAGATAGATAGACAGACAGACAGACAGACAGACAGAGAGAGAGAGAGAGAGAGAGAGAGAGAGAGAGAGAGAGAGAGAGAGAGAGAGAGACAGTAGTACAGGCCAAAAGTTTGGACACACCTTCTCATTCAACTTTATTTTCATGACCACGGCCATTTACAAAGCGGCCAACAAGTGTTAAACACCTCTGGGAGCTCCTTCAAGACTGTTGGAAAACCATTTCAGGTGGCTACCTCTTGAAGTTCATCAAGAGAATGCCAAGAGTGTGCAAAGCAGTAATGAGAGCAAAGGGTGGCTATTTTAAAGAAAATAGAATATAAAACATGTTTTCAGTCATTTCACCTTTTTTAAAGTACATAAGTCCGTGTGCGTTCATTCATAATTTTGATGCCTTCAGTGAGAATCTACCAATGTAAAAGGTCATGAAAATAAAGAAAACACATTGAATGAGACGGTGTGTCTCCTTTGGCCTGTACTGTACATATACACAACTCAAGTTGACATCCATGCAACTTGCAGACTTAGCAAATAAAAAAGAGGTATTGCCTACAATATACCAGAACCAAACTAAAGTGTTTCCTTAAACCTAAACAGGTCAAGAGAAGAGCTGAATAATTATCGTTTTTACCGAGTTAGTATAAACATACAAGTTTATGAGGTTCTCACTGGTTTAAAAGCTTTTCACTAACTCAAATACGATGTTTACCTAGTTTATATGAATATTTTTACAACTTTGAATGAAAGATTTTCACTGAAAGTATTAATTACACTAATAGTATTACTAATATTGTCATTATTATTGTACTGAGGAGTCACTAAAAGATTCCTGCCTCCCTTTTCTATCCACCAGAGAATGCAATATTTACAACAAAGTGATTCAACTTGGATTTAGTGCAGTGAATGTACTTATTTTCTTACGGTACACTCCAAGTTCACGCATGTACATTTATTTGCACAAATTAATGTTAAATCTTGTCATTTTGACGCACTAAGACGTTGCATAAGTTACCAAAAACGTCATTTTACTCAATTAAATCAGAAACTCTGCTGCACAGATTCCACTATTTTTCAAACGGTCTAAAACCGAGTCCGCTTCAAGTTTTGTGAAGGCGTAAAATAAAAATGTCTTAAGAACTATTTGGCTGCTTCCTGTGCAGTGGAGGGCAGCAGAGGTCTATGATTAAACATCCGCCTAAGGGCGGATCCTGCTCTTGTCCGCCTGCTCAGCCGCTGGCTGTTGATTTCTACTTTAGTTGATACTTAATCAGTGACGAAATGAGCACAGTTAAAAGCTTCACGATCTCATACAACGCGCTGAACGAGGAGGACACGTTTTCCGAGGGGGACGTTATCGTGGGAAGGGTAACTCTGGAGTTATCAAAGGAGACCAAAGCTCAGAAGCTGTTTGTTAAAGCTAAAGGAGACGCAAACACTCACTGGACCAAAAAGCGCGGCGATCACACGCACACGTACTCAGCCCACAGAAGATACTTCAAACTGAAACAGTTGTTGATTCCAGAGAGCTCTGGAGGTAGAAGGAAACACCCGATTGTTGCTTTAAATAGCTACTGCGTTTGTTTAGACAAGATTTCAATCTGGTGCGTTTAAATGTTCACTGATTATTAATAGCCTACAGCTAGCTGCAGGTCAGTAGAATGTATGGGGTGCTGTTTCAAAAGGTATGCGCTCAAAATGTATTTTCAAGTTATACAGCGTCTAGGTTTACGTACTTTTTTTTTACCACATATATTGGGTAAATGATGATGTTATGTCTAAATATTTAAACTAGTCAAATTAATAATGTAAACATGTTTTTAATTAAATTTAAATATATAAAGTTAGAGTTTTATTTGTTTAGATTTTATTCAAAATATTTAGAATTGGTGTGCAATTCCAATTTTCAGGTAAATGCAAATAAAGACATTTAATCTCTCGGTTCATAGTATTGTTGAGCCACTGTTTAGCATCAGCTGTTTGCAGTTTGTTCAGAGATGACATAAGTATTATAATTGGGTAGACTACAGTCACGTTTTGGGGGATAAAATTCCAACGAACTGAGGTAGTGGAAGAGTTGAGTTTCTTTTCGCCAATCAGAGAAGAGGCATTTGTTCATGAATAACAATGAGTAAGATTCAGAATTATCTTGCTAACTTCTTTTTGAAACAGAAGTTGTTTTTTCCTCACAGAAAATGACTCCCAAGGTAGGACTGGACAATATGGCCTAAAATCAATATCACAATACTATACAGTACCACTGCAAATGTGATGAAAAAAAGAGTGAATTAGAGCTTTAAAAAGCAATAGTTAATAAAATACTTTTAAAATTGTGAATTACATCAGCAAAAAAAATTCACTGTTTTAACACCCAACATCCGTTCTGTCTTTGCAGACACTGTTCTGCCTGAAGGAATCCATGTGTTCAACTTCAGCTTTAACTTACCAAGAGAGTGAGTCTTGCAACACTGTTGACCAGTATTATGTTTGCACATCCATTTGTAGCTACACTCGTGATGTAGTCAAATAGTGTTAATTCACGCTTTGTTACATAAATTTAACCTGGAGCTCCCCCTTTACAGGAGTATGCCTTCATCTTTCAAAGGGTCAGATGGAAAGATTGTCTACATGCTGGAGGCCAAGCTGTCCAGAAGTTGGAGAATGAATTCCACTGCCCAAAAGGAGATTACCTTCATTTCCAAGTCTTTCCCCAATCTTTATTCTCTCATGGTGAGTAAAGTAACCAAATGTGCATTTATGCAGTCATTCTGTTTAAAGTTTTGTTCTATGCAGCAGCAAAGTGTTATAAATTAAATAAATCTGTTTGGTCATCTTTAGTTAACTCTGAAGAGGAAGATGGAGCAAAAATTTAAAGCTCTTTTACCCAATTCTATTGTGATTTTAGGGATCGAAATTGGAAGTGTAGCACTAGAACGCAGACCATGATTGTTCTGACTATTTTGCAAATAAGGAGTCAAACCAATGGAGAGACTTATAAATAAAATGCATCAAATGAGTGAATCTGTGAGTTTTCAGAATCTGAAAAGATGCATACAGATAAGTTTCTATGAACTCAAAACATAGTGCAGTGTCATACTGCAGGCAAATATAGTGAATCAGCATAATCTAACAAAGGTGGCAGATATTCGGTGTTTCTTTGCCTTCAGAGAAAACATAATTTATTTCAATAAAAGAAACCTATCGGATCGGACTCATGTTAAGAAGAAGAAGAAGAAGAAAATATAATTTCTATAGCGCCTCTCAAGATAAAAATCACGAGGCGCTTAAGCATAATTCTGCGCACACGAAGACGCATAAGAGATCTGGATGATGAAGCTCAATGGTTAAAGGAATCACTGAAGCGGCGTGAAGCGCTCCGTCGCGCGTCTAGACGGTACCGTAGGAGGCGAGCTGCCATGGTTCGCCGCGTGCTACAGCAGCGAGCTATCTAGGTGCGCACAGCGTCCCCGGTGCCCTCCCCCTCCCCCTTGTCCAGAACTTTACCTCACCAATCTGAAGCAGCCACCCTGTCCGTAACAAGTCCGGACCTGTTACTAGGGGCTTCGTCCGGATAAATTCCGGAACACGTTATCCGGATGTTTATATTCAGACAGAAAGGTCTTACGGACAGATTCCGGAACATTTCCGTTTTTCATGGCCTGTCTGAAGGGGGCTTAAGGGAGAGCGAAACCCAGCAGAGAAAACTCTTTTCAGCTGCTTGTATCCACAATCTCATTCTTTCAATCACTACCCAAAGCTTGTAGACCGACTGGTGAATCTAGACCTCATCTTCAGTCTCAGCTTTCGCCACGACAAACTGGTGCAACACCTGCATCCATGCAGATGCAGCACCAATCCATCTATCGATCTCATGCTCCATCTTTCCTTCACTATACTTACGCCGCTTCCACATCGGCCCGGTCCGGATTGGGTGAGGAAATCCCCGGAGGGCCGGCCTGAGATCTGTGTTTTTAGTCGTCTTTTTGTTTTGTTTTTTTCGGGCCGGTGTTCAGTCACGTCTCTGTTGATTACCCGCTGCTGATGTGAGGATTTCTACTGTCAGTGTGGAAGGAAAGGGTGAGCTGCTGCCAGCAAGCTTTAGTTCCTACAAACACTTTCTATGCCTATGATTAGTGAGCTGTTTTATATAATTGTATAATTCATAGTACATTAATAAATACACTAAACCCACAGCACAGGTGATAGAAAATAAGATTAAAGAAGCCTGAATGTTCTCTCCCAGCTCTTAAGCAGATGTCTTCTTAAGCTGCTGGACAACATCAAATATAAAAACGTATTAGATAACTAATCTTTTAATGAAAATTGAATTTTATTCATTTTTTATTTTAATATTGATCATTTCTAAAGTTTGGATGTCTGTGAACATTACAGGATATTGAGACTGGTTTAAAGAATTCATGATATTAATAATAACTGATCGTGATCTAAAGCTGGTAGATCTGAGGCATAAAACTCTGCCCTGGGCCCAAAGTCCTGCAGATATATTTAGTTTCTATTTTAACAACAAATAAATAACAGTAGCTGGATTCAACTTTGGTCCTTAAATTTAGTTTGTTCTTCAGCACATCCTGAGCTCCTTCAAAGGAATCTCCTACCATCTTTATGCAGATGACATCCATTTGTACATCTCCCTTAAGCCCCATGAGATGTCTAAGCTGCAGCTGTTACACACCTGTTTAGACTCTATCAAAACCTGGATGGCTGGGAGCTTTCTACAGCTGAATGAAGATAAGACTGAGATCCTCATCTGTGCCCCAGACAAGCTGGTTCCCAAAGTCAGAGACTTGCTTGCTTCTCACACCAAACCTTCTGTCATGAATCTTGGTGTGACCTTTGACCCAGCTCTCACCCTGGATTCTCATGTCAGTTCTTTTGTTCGCTCTTCCTTCTTCCATCTCAGGAACATTGCTAAGCTGAGTCCCATTCTGTCCCGCTCTGAACTGAACATGATCTTCATCACCCTCTCCTTATTCCGCTTTCCCTACTTATTCCACCTTCCTCCGGATCCACTGATTTCCCTCTTTCCTATTCACTCTCTCTCTTTCTTTACATTTTTAATCACAATTGTCTACTTTTTACTCATTTTAAATATGTTTTTAATCATTTTCTAAATTCTTTTTTTATATTTTACATTATTTGTTTTTGTGAAACGCCTCAGGATTTTTATCTTGAGAGGCGCTATAGAACATATTTTTTCTTCTTCTTCTACACACATGCAAGGCATCCCAAGAACCTGGCTGATCTTCCTTGTGGCGAGGCAAATCGATTATAATAGTTTTGTAATGAATATATGTCTAATTTACATTGTCCGTGTTGCATGAATGATTAAAGCAATAACCTTATATCAGGGCAGCCAACTAAACCAGCTACTTAGCTGTATAGCAAACACGAGAAGCATATAATGTGACTAGTTGCGGTTTTCATTTTTTTGCAATGACTTTTACTGTCAGGAACTGCTCCTCAGCCACTACCGTGTTGTGTCCAGTTTGTTAGTTTGCTCAGGCAAGATCAAATCCATCTAGAATGACAGGCCAGAACAGAGAGTTGAGTTTTCCTGGCTGCCAGAGAATGCTGCTGTTGTGTCTTTGGGCAAGACGCTTGACCTGCCTTGCCTGTTGGTGGTGGTCGGAGGGACCGGTGACGCCTGTGTTTGGCAGTCTTGCTTCAATCAGTGCACCACAGGGCAGCTGTGGCTACAATGTATCTCATCATCACCAGCGTGTAAATGTCTGTGTGAGTGGGTGGATGACTGACTGACTGTGTTGTAAAGTGCTTTGGGGGGTTGTAGAACCCTAAAAGGCGCTATACAAATGCAGGCCATTTACCATTTATTTTCACTGTTCAAATCAGGGTATCACTGCCGCCACGGTGTGTCTTAAAAAGCTGGCAACAATGTACCAAATGAAAGTTAACACTGGCAGTCAGTTTCACATTTGTAATCAGAATAGCTGGAGCAATGCAGAGATCCAGAAGTTTCTGGCCTTTAGAGCTAAAGCACAAATCACCTGACTGATTCATGAGGACTGTGAAAGACAGCCACCTTATGGAGCAGCTTGTAGAAACATTTAGACAAATGGCTTGTATTTGATTTACCTTCTAGGGTTCCACAACCCCCCAAGGCGCTTCACAAAACAATTAGTCATTCACCCACGCACACTGAAATTCACATGCTGGTGGTGATGAGCCACAGCTGCCGAGCACTGGTACCACCGGTCCCTCCACCAGCAGGCAAGGACGGGGCCACAGTTGGCATAAAAAATTATGTCCAAGCTAAAAGAATGTTAACGACAGCACAGAGGCTGTCCCCATACCACTTTTATACTGCCTTCATGTACTTTTTTGTGGAAAAAACATATGATTGCACCACATTACCACCACACACTGACCACTTGTAAATAATAAAAGGCTGCCTGATACCACCTCACCTTTGCCTACCCCGTCTCTCAACCTAGCAGGTGATGTCAACAATGTCATAGGCTGCAGTCAGATCCAGCAGAGCCAGAACAGAACAGTCCCCTGCATCACTGTGAGTTAGGAGGTCATTAGAGACCCCAAGGTGCACGTTGAAAACCCAGTATGCACACATTCCAACTGTCTGTTACACTGCCTTTGCTGTCCAGTTTAAAAAACCATCAAAATACAGGCCTTTTCCTGTGAAGACACGTTAGCTCTGCGTTAGCCTACGTGCTAACAGCTGCATGCTATGGTGTCTGAATCTCTGCCTGCCGTAAATTGTGTGACATAATGGTGTTGTTTTTGTCCAAGAAACAAAGAATAATAATGTAGAGGAACTGGAGATTAAAACTAATCCATTGTTTTTTCATTAGCAAATCTCTCTCAGGATAAATTTCAAAAGTCATTTGTTGTTTTGTAAGGTTAAATCTGATCTTTCTGACCCGATTGCGATCTTTGAAAATCACGTGATCCAGCCTGATCACGTGATCAGATCGGTGCATGTCTAAGTTAAATGTTGAGAATTAAAACCCTCTAAACACTAAAAACAATAAACATTTTGTAATAAATAAGTTAATTCAGTCTTTGTTGTAAACTAAATTACTTATTTTCTTTTAATAAGACAAATGCTGTGGTCATTAAAGGTGTTTTTTCATACCTGCTGACAGTTTCGACTGAAGGCATCAGAGCTGATAAGTGACACAACCGCAGAAAGTCATTAGTTTTCTTTTACGGCTGTCTTTTTTCTACAGTCACCACAAGTTGGTTCAACGGACAAAAAGATGGGGGTTTTCTCCAAAGGACAAGTGCACATGGACGTCACTGTTAACAAGACTGCTTTTGCCCCGGGTAGACTGGGCTAATTATTCTTCAACTGAACATTGTAACACAAATAAATCAATGTTGAAATGTAGCTGAAAATTAATTGGGCAGCAGATTTGAAACAGAAAATAATGAAATTATTTTATATTTTGGTTTCCTTCACAGGCGAATCCATTGAGATTGTTACTCAAATCAACAATTCCTCATCTCGTGACATGACACCCAAGTTTTGTCTAGAGCAGCGTGCTGAGTTTCATGCCCAAGGAGATACCAGAACGGCAAGCCGTGAAGTGGGAAAAGTGGTTGACATACCAATCAAACCCCAAACACAGCAGAAGGTGAAGTGCGTGTTAAAGATTCCCAGTGAACAGGTCACATCGATCCAGAATTGTGAAATCATCAAAGTGGAATACCAGTTGAAGGTATGCAACATTTTAACTTAACATTTAGAATTGTGTACTTTTCGGTCTGCTGGGTATTCTTTTGATGTGTGTTTTTAAATCATTTTTTTACTTTCTCATGAGGAAACTTTATTTTCTCTTAGGTGTATCTGGACATCAGTTTTGCCTTTGATCCAGAAGTTTTGTTCCCAGTGGTAATTATTCCTCCCGACTTAGTTTCTGGTTCTCATATTGGTGCAATGGGTCCCTATCCTTATGGGGCTTTTGGGGGTCAGAGCTACAGCGACTTTCCTCCCCCTTCGGGTCCTGTGGGCCCTTATCCTGCATATCCACAATCTGTTAGTTATGGCTTTCCAGGAGTCCAAAATCCTTCTGCACCACCGCCTGCATACCCAGGAAACCCACAGGTGTATGCAGGTCCACTAGATGTTTCCACTCCTCATTGGGGCTACAATAACCCAGTGCTACAGGTTCCTTGTCCACCATATTCATCTCCATCCCCCACTTTTGTGCCCCACCCCCCACCACCTCCTCAGGCCTTTCACCCACCCCCATCAGCACCACAGATCCAGCTACCTCCTGCTCAGGCTCCATTAGCTCCAGCTCCTTCTGCACAAATGATGAATACAGATTTCCTGTCTCAGACAGATGAAAATCCTCCATCTTATTCAGTGCTCTTCCAATCTTCTACTCCTGTAGAATCTGATCCTAAATAATCAAATAATAATTTTTAATAATCATGTAGCCATCTATAATTAACTAAACAAATGGTGATTTAGCCTTGACACTGTATGCGATTGCTGCTTTCTAGTCAGTTTAAAGCTGGCTGGGCTTTTCTTAGCTACCAATGTAACAACTAAACCTCAGCCTAAGGATGCACTCCAGTATACAGGCCTTGTTAACTTTAAAGTGCACTTTTTTGAGCATGAATGTAACATATGTACCTCCATTTTATTTAAATACTGATTAAAGCTACCTGAATACATAGTGCATTACCGTTCGTATGTTTACTTTTATCTTTCTGTAACCTAATGGCATTATGCAGAAACATATATTTTCATTTGCCAAATCTGTTGAGACGCACCAGTTAATCAGTTCTGATCACTGTCAAGTCCCAGCTTCAGCTAGGTGGAACATCTTAAAGATCTATATTAGACTGTGAGCCATGTCTTCTAGTGCAGAGAGATAGGTTGTTTTATTTATTATTATTATTTTGTATTTTATCATAATACCCAAAAGCGCACACAAAAACCTTGTGGAAAACATTTCCTTAAAGGTGTGAAACACTTGTTTTATCAATACATTTGCAGTGGTCTCTAGAAGGAATGGAAGTTTTGTGAGTCGTACTCCAGGGGAAAAAAGCTCCAGTGCACCAGTTTCAGGAATTAGAAAATGATCACACAGAGGAGAGCTTCAGATGGCAAGATATGGACTCTTTATTTCCTGATATTCAGACATCTTGCCTTGGATTGGATAACAGCAACGTGACTCTACCACTGACTCTGTTTGCTCGGCAAAATTCATGTTTTATCTCCGCAAACAACACAAGCCTGGAGGAGTTCTTCTGTGTGGTAGAGTTGCTAATGCTAAAGGTTAACTTCTACTAGCCAAGACAATCTCTGATGTTTCCTGGACGCTAAACCAACAACAGCCTTCCCCGTCGCGAGTCAAGATCAGTGAGTCCATGAATGTTAAGTGACAGTGTGGTGTAGATCTGTCAGGCGTTTCTAATCCTAGAGGTTCACTATCAGTTTTCTATTAGAATCTAATGCAGGAGAGAGGTGTAGGAGACTATTTTCATGTTCAGCCTGCATGAAAAATGTAGAGTGGCCCATTATAATCAGAAATATTATTTTTTAAATGTTTTATGTATTCCACACTTTTAAAAGTTGGATGTGGGTCAACTTCATGTTGAGGGTGTGATGTCTTTTAGTTCATGTCCAGCCAGGTAAAGGCAGCTGTCCCATTATATTTGGCCATAGTGTAAAATAATTTTGTTATATGACTTGATAATAATGTTACTATTTAAACTGGAAGACTAGAAAGGGATTGTAATAGAATGATTATAAATATGCCACTCAAGTAAAAGAAAAGCATTGCATTGATGTTTGCAAGTCACTTCAGATACTTCATAGAATTTCCAGTAAACAAATTCACTAAAATGATTAATACAACTGTGACTAAATGGTTGGGTTTGAAGGACCCACAGCTCCACAGCTCTCAGGGGAATCAACTAATAGAGCTTTCATTTTCTTCATGTTGTAAATTATATTTAAAAATATCCCAGGAATTCAAATTATTCGAAATAACAATTGTTCTGCCTTAGCTCAGATTTAGTATAACAATGTATTTAGTAGAAAGTCTATCAGTTAGTTCTTTGATCTGTCGTAGTCACTCACGAGTTTCACTGAACAATTATGCTTCACCTATAAACAAATCAATAAACTTAATTTGTCTATCAATTGTACAATGTATCCAGATGATAGAATGCCTTATGTATTGCATTAGATTCATGTGTTCAGTTAAGCTACTGAAAAATGTAAATCATCTAATTGTTTTCATTAACTCAAATGCATATAAATTACATTTATACACTTTGTAAAATCCCTTAAACTGAAACTCATGCCAAAAAACATTTCTGAAAGTACTTTCATATTTTGTGTAAATTGCTTAAATTGTCCCAACTGGAATAAAATGAGTAAGACTGGACTTTTGTGGGTTTTTTTTTTTTTGGCCACTTCAGTAAAATATATTTTCTTGGCTTTGATTAATCAACACATTTAAATTTTGATTTTAATTTAAGACAGTACAACTGCGCAAAAAGTCAGAAGTGGGAGGAGTTTTGT